ACAGGTTAAAAATTAGCTTTTGCTTTTTGTTAACCCCGAATTTTTTCTTGTGCACAATTTCATTTAACCTCGATTGGATAAGTTTTACGAAGGAAATCATACACGTTTTAAGCTCTTAACGACGAAGTACACATATTTGTGTAGTAGTTTATTATTCCTTTACACCAAAATTTCTTTAAAAGAAGAAAATTTCTTCGGTATTTTGTGGAAAACTCGATGGTGAAAAGTGGATTTCTTCGATATTTTTCTCCTAAACTTTTGGAATTTTCCATATACCGACCAATGTTAAAAAGTGGATTTTTCGCGTTTTTCGTCGAAAACTCGAATATTTGAAACTGGTGGAAAATTTTAATTGGTTGCTATCAGGTATAATTATGAAATCAAAATCGTACAGAAGGGAAATTTTATTTTAAAATTAATAGTCCGAAAGAGGTTAAACAGTTAGAGTTTGACGCCAAAATAAAAAATTTTAGAAAATTTTAATACTTAAAAATATGATAGATATTTGCCCAATTGTTATCTAGGATTTTGAGTGTCAAACTAAATTATTGAAATAAATTGACTAGCTGAGAATACAGATTTTGACGACTTTTTTTTATAAACCAAAGAGTACTCTGGAGATTTTGCATTTATTTATTCTTTCAAGCATACCTGTACACTCCATTCATTTGACTGATTATGATAGTGAGTGAGAATGAATTTTCTTTCAGTTCAATGAAAATAACAGAAGGATTCAATAATTTCAGATGAGTGACTGTGAATGAATGGATATCTCACTGCTTTCATTTTCACCATGCTTAATACATGGGGTGAAGTAAGAAATGAAGGCAGATGAAGTGAAATGAAATGAGTCTGACGGAAAATGACTGAATGTAAAGGAAAGGTCTTCAGAAATCAGAATGAATGACTTATGAAGGAAAACTGAATTTTTGAACAGGTATGCTTACGACATGACTCGAAGTTCCGCAATGATCCAGGACATCCCCAGATAAATTATGGTCCAGTTAAATGACCACGAGAAGAAAATAACCGTCGTCAAGTAGTACTCGACCCCGATGAAGGGCGCCTTTTGAAGGAGGGAAACCCCATGGTTTTTGAACCCTTCACACGGCAGGAAGAGGGAGCTAATGAAATTTGGCGTGCAAGGGCTCTCCTCCACGAGCAAAATGTGTACAAACGGATTTCCCGCCAACATCAACATCCCGACGAGAATGTAACGTGACACGGACTTCGTCACGGCGGCAGAGTCACGTTCGTAATTCGACCTTAAGGTGGAATAAGGCCGTTATAAATGTGTAATTTCATTTTACCTCAATTCAATGTTATTAAAATGGATTTACGAACGGGGTCAATTTCATTAGTTTTCAGATAAATTCAACCTTTCATAGTTTAATGGAAAGTTAGTTTCAGGTCCTACGAAACTATCGATTTGGAAAAAATTGCTACACTCAAAATAAGGTAGTAATGAATCATTACCATGCGGAATGACTATGTGGCTCTACCACGTCGGTTACGATTTGTCGTAGAGATGGTAATAATAATTTCAGGGAAATTCAAATTCATTACCAAATATTAAGGAAGTGAATACCATTATGTATTAAATTTGAATTTCCCTGAACTTATTATTACCATTTCTACGAAACATCGTAACCGACGTGGTAGAGCCACATAGTCATTCCGCATGGTAATGATTCATTACTACCTTATTTTGAGTGTACTTCATTTACCGTTTTTCACAATAAATTTCCACAAAATTTTTATTTTAATTTTCTGTTTGTTTATTTTTTGATTAATTCGCTAATTTTTAACTATAATCTACGGGAAGTTAGTTTTGGTACCGTAAGAATATCTATTTGGAAAAATAAATTCGTTTTTATGAAATTTTGTCGCAAAATAATTGCAAATTAGTAGTTTCTTAATCGATAGTTTTGAACTACCAAAAATTAACTTTACATAAAAGTACGAAAAGCTGCCCTTAACCTGAAAAGTTATAAAATTAGTGTCATCTTAGAAATTTGCATTTAAATAGGGGTAAACTGAGACTTAAAATACATAAAATCTATACATAAAATCCTCATCCTATGTAACCTTAAGCAAAAAAAATTGTAATACAATTTTTTGAACCATATTTATAAAAAAATAAGATTTGACCTTAATTTGCACAACAAACCAAACTGTACCTTTGGACGTGCTTAAATCAACATTTTTCTTAAAAACTGCATTACGACGTTGAAAGCTCACAGAATTTTGTATAGTTTACTAAATACACAAAATTACAGTAAATTCCTTCTTAAAATAATTCGTTAATTTTTTTCAAATTGGTAATTTTGTACTACCAAAACTTTACATGAAATTTTGAAAAATTGCATTTATCTGAAAACTCTGCAAATTTTAGAAATTTGCACTTAAAGAAATTGAACAGGGGTAGAGTGAGATTTAAAATCTAATAAAATCGTCATCCAATCGCACCTTAATTCGTCCTCCATATCCTCCTCCATTTCAGACTCCTTTTCTTCTTCAGGTTCAATTTCAATCTTTGGAATAACATTTTTTGGCACGTCGTCATAATTTGCGGACTCAATTTTGTCCTCTTCTTCATTTTTCAAAAATGTAACCTCATCCCAACGTGGAGTGTCGACACTTTTTCGACTTGGGCTTCTCGACGCTTGGATTTCTCTATTCGTCAAAATATGGTCAACTTCTGACATATTGACGAAATCCGGCTTTCCTTTTTCCTCCAAGATGTCAAATTGAATACTTAATCGTGCCAATCTTTGCTCGTTAGTATTGGGCAGCTTGAGCTGAGGCTGAGCAATACAATCTGGCAAAACTGGAAATATATTAAAATTTTATGCATTTTTAGAAATTTTTTTAAAGTCTGAAAATGCAGACCGGCAGAAAATTATGTTTCAAAAAAGCATCTGTAAAAATATTATTACAGACTTAAGGTGGAATAACGCGGTCATAGAATTTTAATCTCACTCTACCCCAATTCAATCTCTTTACACGCAGCTACAATTCCATAAATTTTATGAGTTTTGAGATAAATGAAATTCATCTATTCATACCTAATGCAGACATAATTTTTGTACTATCTACATAACTATCGATTTGAATTTTTAAAACAATTGTGAATTGATTTTTGAGGAAGTTTATTGTTAACAAATGACAGTGAGTCAGCAATTTGTTTTTTTTAATCGAAAGTACCAAAAATTAGCACTGAATTAATTATGAAAAGTTGCATTTATCTCATTACTTTCGAAATTAATGTCATTTTAAAATTTAAACACCTTGAATTTGGGTAGAGTGAGAGTTAAAATCTATAACGGAGTTATTCCACCTTAAGGAAAACGATGGTTTACAATTTTTATAAAATTAAAAATCTATATAACATAAAATCGTTATCCAATAGCACCTTAAACTCTCACCTTTTTTCGACGTCCGTTTCACATAAGCGAGCAAGCAATTAACAAATTGCAAAATTTCGCCCTCTTTCCTATCAAACTGAACGAAGCAAATTGTTGTCAAGGTATACGCAAAAATCCACACGGTATTTAATACGCGAAAAAGCAGGGGGAATTTCCCCCTGTGCAAGGCTTGCACGAGTCTCACCGCAGCAAAAATGTTCATCGCAATGTTTATAAATTTATGGATTTTGAAATAAAACCGGTGCCGTTTTCCGGCCCTTTTGACACACTTTTCTTTCGGGTCCCAATCAAAGGGGAAGAGTTTCAACCCACTCCCCACGTCGAGGAGACAATGCACCGCAGAAATTGCGCGTTCGGACAACATTTTGGGGAAGAAACTTGTCAAAAATTTGGGAAATTGCAGGAATCAAATTATTGCAAATTTTATCAACAAATTGCACTTTTTGTTTGCATGTTACGGAAGAAAATGTTGCAAAAGTTGCTAAAATTTCACAAAATCGCAACAACAATTAGTTATAATTTGATAAGAAATTGCACTTTCGGTCGGTATGTTGGCGAAGAAAATGGTACCAAAGTTTCCAAAATTTCAGAAAATCGAAGCAATCTAATATTTCCAAAATTGATCAAAAAATTGTCCTCTCAGTCAGCACGTCGGAGAAGAAAATAGCACAAAAGTTACTAGAACTTCTGAAAATCGCCTTCAATCATTGTCAATTTGATTAATCATTGTTTACTCACAGTAACTATTCAAAACATTCCATTTTGCATATCCTGTACTCATTCAGGTTCCGAAAATGGATAGCATTTACGCAGTTATTTTCAGAAATTGGTCCAAAAACGAAAACATTAAGAATATTTTCAAACGTAATATCCGTACAAAATGACGTTGGTCACCTTATCATACAGCTCCGTGTTTAATTTCTTGCATGGCAAGAAACTACAAGAAATGCAAGAAATACTCGCCACCAAGCGGCTCACAGTTCGCACTACGCTTAAATATTGGAATTACCCACTAGATGGTGCTTATTTATTGCGTTTCTTCCATTCGTGCAAAAATGCATACTAAAAAATAAATTTCTTGCATTCTTCCATTTGTGCAAAAAATTATGTGCGAAAAAAACAATAATTTCTTGCATTTCTTCCACTCGTGCAAAAATTATACCCGAAAAAATATCCCGAAAAACAGGAAATTATGCTTAAAAAACAATTTCTTACATTTCTCCAACTCGTGCAAGAAACTGTGACAAAAACAATTTCTTGCATGTGCTTTTCTTTCAGGTGTACACTGGTCCACAGTGTTGACTATACTTTCATCAATTGCATTTAATTAGACTTGTTTTTCCAACGTTAATGGAATAAATTTCTCGCTATATTTAACCCCATAACCCACTAATCTAGTTAATTTATGCATAACAATGAAAACAACAACCTTGACTGTTATGTATCTGGATAAAATCATTAATTAAGGTTCCATGTAGCGTCTAAATGATGAATATGAGTCACAATTCAATGATCCAAAATTCACAAACATAACTATGTAATTCGCATCTAAATAAATTGAAAATTTAAACATTTCAACTTTACAATTTAATTTATTGATATTTTTTTGCAAATTCGGTGTCCCCACGAAAATCTCCTTCGCAATTTTTAACCACAATTAAAAATAATAATAATAGTTAATAATAGCAGAAGCGTTACTTTTCCGAAGTTCTATTTCCATATCATCAAATACATAAATTGCTACATTTAATTGTACAGTAAATATTTGCATAATAAGCTTAATTTGCATAATTATTATAATTATTTCTCGACCAACGTCAGCTTTTGTACAAATAAATTTACACAAAATACATAAGACTCAAGCTAAAACGGGAAACTATGTTTTAAGGAAGGTGTCCTGAATTGGGAAGTGTTGCCGAATATTTTTCTGAATCCAATTAATATATTTCTGAGTATCGGTAAATATTTCGGGAAATGTTCCACAGCCGAGGCCATGACTCAAGATGCCAATCACGTGCCAACAATTGCCCGTCTTCATCATCAGCGGGGCTCCGAGATCGGCCTGGAACAAAATTAATATGCATTTTAAATTTGATCGTTACTTTTCAGGAGAAAAAAAGCCAGGGTGCAGACTTCTTTAGCCCGAGTCAGAGTGTAAGTAAAAATCGAAGTAAGTATAAAACAACCACGACCAGGGTTCACTACCCTGGGTTTTTGTGGGTTGGGGTTTTTGGGGTTTTTAGGGTATCAATCTCCGAAAAAACTGCAATGCTTAATGGGGTTTTTCCTGATTTTTTGTGGGTTTTTCCGGTTTTTTTTTGTAAGATTTTGGGACAAATCGAAGCTAAATTCTTTAAACTACTAGTTAGTTCAATGAAAATTCAACTTTCGGATTTGGCATAAAATTTTGAGCATTTTCATGTACGACTTGAATTTCCAAGTAATTAAATGTTTCATGGTTTTCTAGTTTGTAAACCATGAACTTTCGACTTAAAACTCGAAGTCAAATGAAAATACTTAAAATTTCATGGTGAATTGGAATATTGAACTAGTCTTCGTCTCATATGTATTTTTTGAATTTGGTTTCAACCAACCCCAAAATATACGAAACCCCATAAAAACCCAAAAACCCACAAAAACCCAGGGGTTGGGGTTTTTCTAGAAATACCCCGACCACGACAACTATTTCATTTTTCCACGCATTTTCCCCAACTTCCAACATAACTCCTAATTTTCATTATATAACTAGCGTATAAGCCCGTCTCCCTCCGGGCGAGCGTTTAACCACACAATTATTATTTTTTATTCTGAAAGTCACTGACGTCGATGGAAGTGAAATGAAGTTATAACACTCGGAAAATTAAAAACTTAAAAAAATATCCAAACAAATTTTCACTTCCGTTGCGGAAAATAACTTTCACTTCCGTTGCCAACAGACATTTCCAGCTTATAATATAGATTTTAAAGCTTCGGTTAAAAAATTGTTCTTTTTTCCAAAATTTTCCTAAATAACCCATATTGATAATGTATTTCTTTGCTCAAATATTAGGAGATGAAGCGGAATCTAATTATATTTATTATATGAAACTTAACATCAAAATTTATTTCGGCGTCTGCATCACACAAAGTTTTTGTTTTCTAGTGAAATTTCGTATATTGATTCGTAATTTTGCATATTTCGTGTGTTTGCGAATTTAAATACTTCAAAATACGATAGATGTTTAATCTTATTAGAGTTTGAGTGTTAAACGAAATTATTAACAAACCTAAATTGACAATATAGAATACAGATTTTTACAACTTTTTTTTATAAACCCAAGATTACTCTCGGGATTTTCGTTTATTCTTGCAAGCATACCTGTTCACTTTCATTCATTTCACTGATTATGATAGTGAGTGAAAATGAATTGCCTGTCATTTGACTGAAAAATACTGAAGGATTCCTTCATTTCAGATGAATGACTGTGAAGGAAAGGATTTCTCACTCATTTCATTTTTCACTATATGCTTAAAACATGGGGTGAAGTAAGAAACGAAGCCAGATGAAGCGAAATGAAATGAATTTGAAAGAAAATGACTGATTGTGAATAAAAATCTTCAGTCTGAAACTGGGATGACTGAACTTTGAATGAACAAGGTTTTTTTGAACAGGTATGGCATAAAAATTAAAAATGTTATCGGAATTAGTATGTTAATTCTCTCAGCTAAACTTAAAAGATACCGGTTACCCATATTATTAAAAAAAGAAAAATACAAAAGGCGAACAGAGTACGTTAATGTAAACAATGTAGATAAAACTATTAAGCATCCCATAATTAAGTTTATTTTACCTTGAAAAAAAAATTCAATAATTATATCCCTAGAAAAAAATCCTGATAAAAACGGAAACCCACAAAGAGCTATTGAAGAAATAATGAAGTACAAAGATGTGACTGGGCAAGAAATCATTAGCCCCCCTATCGCTCGAATATCCTGAGTGTCCCCTATAGAATGAATAAACACCCCAGCACATAGAAATAATAGGGATTTAAATATAGCATGAGTTAAAAGATGAAAAAAGGCATACTCGTAGAAGCCCAGCCCCAAAGATGTTATTATTAACCCGAGCTGACTTAGTGTTGATAAGGCAATAATTTTTTTTAAATCTATCTCAAAATTAGCCCCTAAACCAGATATAAATATAGTCAACATACCAATAAATAATAAAAAATTATTGACACCTAGAGTGTAATTAAACCGAATTAATAGGTACACCCCGGCTGTGACTAAAGTAGATGAATGCACAAGAGCCGAAACTGGGGTGGGGGCTGCCATAGCCGCAGGTAACCAGGCAGAAAAGGGTATTTGAGCTCTTTTTGTTATAGCTGCTAAAATTACTAGGATAACTATAAAAGAAACTACTTCGTACGAATACACAAACTGTGAATAAAAAAAATTCCATCTACCAAAATTCAGTAGCCATGAAATGCATAAAAGAATAGCTACGTCACCCACACGGTTAGAAAGAACTGTAATTATGCCCGCATTTGCTCTTTTTACATTTTGGTAGTAAATTACTAAACAATACGACACAAGACCGAGTCCGTCCCACCCCAATAAGATTCTAATTATATTAGGGCTTAAAATTATAAAGACTATACTCAAGACAAAGAAATACACTAAAAAAATAAACCGAGTTAAAAACTTGTCCCCCTCTATATATATGACTCTATAAAAAAGTACCATAGAAGAAATAAATATTACGAGCCCTGTGAATCTCAAACTTATTCAATCAAAAATAAGAGTTATAATAATAGAAGTTGATCTAAAAGAAAATATTTCTCACTCAACAAATATAGTTTCAGCAGAAAGAAAATATAAAAGACCAAACCGCATACTGATTAAGCTAGCCACTAATAATAAAACTCCTAAATAAAAAGGTAAAATCAAATAAAATATTACTTAAAGGGCTCCCCCATCTATAGAATCACAAACTAAAATTTTTCTTAAACTATTTAAATGAAATTATTTAGTAAAATGTAAAAATAAAATTAGACCCTAAAACTAAAAAATTTACTGGGACAATGTGAAGTCTAATAGTGTGGATCTCACGAACATTAGAATGAACAAACCCATATAGTGAATTATAAGAAGACCCGTGTTGTGAAAACGAAAATATAAATAATGTAAAAACCGCCCCTAAAAAGGAGCCTAGGGGGAAGAATAAAAGTATAATATAATCGTAACTCATAATTCTAGCTATCAAAAAAATCTCTGATAATAAATTAATAGTCGGAGGGGCAGCAATATTCGACGCGCAGAGAAAAAATATTAGTAAAGAAAAAATAGGAAAACTTAAAATAAGCCCCTTATTAATAAAAAAAACTTCGACTCCCAGTTCGTTCGTAGTATAAGTTAACCATACAAAATAAACCTGAAGAGGAAACTCCATGAGCTACTATCATCACTAAGGCCCCCATAAATCCCCATGAATAGAGAGTTATTAGCCCCCCAATCACCATAGCTATATGGGCTACTGAAGAGTACGCTACTAAAGCTTTAAAATCATTTAAACGACAACACAAGATCCCTGTAAACATTATTCTAGCTAATCTTAGCCCTATAAAGTAAGGGCTAAACTTTATAGCCGAAACCCCTGTGATATTAAGAACTCGTATAAGCCCGTAGCCCCCTAACTTTAATAAAACCCCAGCTAAAATTATCGAGCCTGCCACGGGGGCCTCAACATGAGCTTTAGGGAGTCACAAATGTGTAAAATACATAGGGAGTTTAACTAAAAAGGCTATCGAACCCATAAAAGCAGTAATAACAAAGAAATTAAAACCTGAAAATGAATAAAAAAGTAACTCCTTATAAAATAAAGAAACACCACCTCCAATTATATATAAGTACGTAATTAATAAAAGTAAAGGTAGCGACGCTGTGAGCGTATAAAATAAAAAATACATTCCTGCTTGAACACGCTCAGGTTGGTAGCCTCAACCCATAATAATTAAAAGTGTCGGGATTAGAGAAACCTCAAAAAAATAATAAAAAAATAATAAATTACCCGAAAAAAAAGTCAATAGTAAAATAAAAAGTAATAAAAAAACAAAACTATAAAAACAAAAAGTATACTCCTTGAAACGAAAAATTTTATATCTAGAAAAAATTATTAAAATTCTAACCCAAACTCTTAGAGACACTAAAATAAATCTAATCCCGTCATAATAAAATAAAGAGTCTAAGTAAAACGTTTCTGGCTGACCCACTAATGTATAAATTACTAGATAAACAGAAATAAATGTTAACACATAAATTAAATTTAATTTAAAATTCTTTAAAAACCCTATAAATAAAAAAATAAAAAATAAATTTACTATCATAAATTTTTAAAAAAATTAAAAGACTTAAAATAATCACCTCCATGCGTCCGTCTTATCGTCACTAAAATAGAAAGACCTAAAGCACCCTCACATGCTGTAAAAGTAATATAAACTAAAGAATAGAAAAAGTCTCCTTTTCTCAATAATGCTAACAATAAAAGAAAAACCCCTAATCTAATATATTCAAGTCTTAAAAGAACAGACAAAAGATGATCCCGCTTAGAGCACACAATCCAAATCCCAGAAAGAATAATTAAACCTCTAATAAAAGATAAAAATATAAGTTTTTATAGTTAATTTTATAATATTAGTTTTGTAAACTTAAGTATGCTTAAATCATAAAAACTTCAAAATTAAGTTATCCACTTTTTTCCAACTTCCAAAGCTAATATTTTTCATAAATTAAATTTTGTATAAAAATATTTTTGTTAACTTCCGCAAGAATTAGAGCTATATTTTATCTAAGAAGACACCCAGTAATAATAATAGTTTTAATTATTTCTCAGACTATAATTTTATGCATCACTGTATGATTTTTTATAAAAACTAGATGATTTTCCTATATTTTATTCCTAATTTTTTTGGGGGGGTTAATAGTTTTGTTTATTTATATCACTAGCCTAGCATCAAATGAGTTAATTAGATTAAAAATAGTCACCCTCCCTAATAGTATTTTTATCCCCATAATTTTGGTATTCTTTATAATTATAAATGTAGACTTCCAAGAATTTAAAGAATCAAGAACAAGATTCCTTATAACAAAAACATTTAATTTCCTTTATAGATGAAACAACTGCATTCTTTTAACCACTTCTATACTTTATTTATTTTTAACCCTAGTGATTGTAGTAAAAATTTCTAATAAATTTGAGGCCCCTCTCAAAACCCTCTCACACTTTTTAAAATAATGATAGCAGAACGGAAAATACACCCTCTTTTTAAAATTGCCAATAATGCTTTAGTAGATCTTCCTGCCCCAATTAATATTTCAGCCTGGTGAAATTTTGGGTCTCTTCTAGGATTATGCCTAGTGACCCAAATTATCACAGGCTTATTCTTAGCAATACATTACACAGCAGATGTAACCATCTCATTCAATACAGTAGCTCATATTACCCGAGACGTAAACTACGGATGGCTTCTACGAGTCATACACGCCAATGGAGCCTCTATATTCTTCATTGCCCTGTACCTCCATGTAGGATGAGGGATCTACTATTCATCGTATACTTATACAATGACTTGAACGATAGGAGTATTAATCTTATTTTTAGTAATAGCAACTGCTTTCATAGGGTATGTATTAATCTGAGGACAAATGTCATTTTGAGCCGCCACAGTAATTACAAATTTATTGTCAGCAATCCCTTATATAGGTTTAATATTAGTACAGTGAATTTGGGGGGGTTCGCGGTAGATAACGCTACACTCACGCGATTTTTTGCATTCCACTTTGTTCTACCATTCATTATCGCCGGAATAACATTAGTGCACCTTCTATTTTTACATCAAACAGGATCAAATAACCCCCTAGGAGTTAATTCCAACTCAGATAGGATCCCCTTTCACCCATATTATTCATTTAAAGACTTATTTGGATTTATTATGCTTATATGAGGATTAGTATCGCTAGCTTTAATACACCCCTATCTTCTAGGAGACACAGAAAATTTTATCCCTGCAAATCCTTTAGTTACCCCCGTTCATATCCAACCTGAATGATATTTTTTGTTCGCTTACGCTATCCTTCGGTCGATCCCTAATAAATTAGGAGGGGCTGCTGCTCTAGTAGTATCTATTGCCATTTTATTAATTTTACCTATTACTCAAAAAATAAATTTAAAAGAACTCAATTTAATCCTTTTAATCAAATAAATTTTTGATTAATGATTAATATTGTAATCTTATTAACTTGAATTGGAGCCCGACCGGCCGAAGACCCCTATATTCTTGTAGGGCAAATCTTAACTTTAATATATTTTTTATATTTTTTGACAAGACCTTTAATCACTTTAACCTGAGAAAAAATTCTTAAATAATGTAAATAATTATTTAGCTTAAATAAAGCAATTATCTTGAAAATAATTTACAGGAGTTTAAGCCTCCTAATAATTTAAGTTAAGAATTATGCCCATGAAATCTTAAAGAAAACAAAAAATACCAAAATCATTAATTTTTTATTGTTCTCTATTATGTTAGGACACCTGCATCAACTCCTAGCTTTAGCAAACCTTAACTTTATTTTTCTAAATTAGCAACTTTATAATAATAAAAAAAATTATTAAATTAAGAGAGACAGGAAGAAAGGATTTTCAGGCTAAGTATATTAATTTGTCATACCGAAACCGAGGTAAAGTGCCCCGAACTCAAATAAATAAATAACAAAAAAAAGAGCCAATGAGTCCTAAAAATAAGCCTCTCACACCACCTCCAAAAAATATACAACTAACTAAATAACTTATAAAAATGATTCTACCATATTCAGCTAAAAATAAAAGAGCAAACCCGCCACTCCCGTACTCGATATTAAAGCCGGATACTAACTCAGACTCTCCCTCAGCAAAATCAAAAGGAGTGCGATTAGTTTCCGCAAGAATAGAACCTAGCCAACATAAAAAAATAGGAAATGACACTAAAATAAATCAAACTAAACTTTGGTATAAATGAAATTCATTCAAATTAAAAGAACCAGTCACAAAAATAAAAGACAAAAAAATTAAAGCTATTCTGACTTCATATGAAATTGTTTGCGCCACTCCACGGGTTGCGCCAAGTAAAGCATAATTTCTATTAGATGACCACCCTCTGACCATTAAAGTGTAAACACCAAATCTAGTACAACAAAAAAAAATAAACCCCCTAAATAAAAATTAATAAAAGAAGAACTAAGTGGAACAACTCTTCAAAGCAAAATAACTAATAGAGAAAAAACTGGGGCAAAATAAAAAGGAATTAAATTAGAAAGAAGAGGAATAGTTTGCTCTTTAATAAATAATTTAATTGCATCCCCAAAAGATTGTAAAATTCCAGTGAAGCCAACCTTATTAGGACCCTTACGAATCTGGATGTAACCTAAAATTTTACGCTCAAATAACACTATAAATCCTACTCTAACCAAAACCCCAACCACTAAAAATAAATAAGAAAAAATTATTATAAATAAATTTAAAAACACTACTAAGTAAAATTTAATTTTATTTAAAGATTCTAAATCAATTGCACTAATCTGCCAACTTAGTAAATAAATAATTTAATGCTTAATCCTTTCGTACTAAAACACTAAAATTAAACTAAAAGATAGAAACCAACCTGGCTCACACCGGTTTGAACTCAAATCATGTAAAAATTTAATGGTCGAACAGACCATCTAATAAAAATGCTGCCCCTCAAAGAATTTTTAATTCAACATCGAGGTCGCAATCTAAAGTGTCGATAAGAACTCTCAACTTTAATAACGCTGTTATCCCTAAGGTAACTTCTATTAAATTTTATACTAAAAGTTAATTAATTAAATAAAATTTATTAATAAGAAGTTAATTTTATTCTTTTATTGCCCCAATAAAATATACAACCTGGTTATTAACTAATAAAAATTTTAATACTTAACAGAATACATATATAAAGCTCTATAGGGTCTTATCGTCTAATTAGTCATTTAAGCATTTTCACTTAAAATTTTATTTCAATATATTTAAATAAATAAAACAAAGCCACGTTCAACCATTCATACAATCCTCTAATTAAAAGGCTAGTGATTATATATTTAACCTAACCTAACCTAAACAAACACTCACCTTGCACGAAGTAGCGGACGGTTTCGTACAAATGATATCATCCGGAAGGGATTTTTCGGATTTGAAACCTTCAAATCTTTTGTGGCAGTCTTCCCTATCCATAAATTCCACGACGGAGTCTACCGCGGGTCTCGGGGAGAAGAAACGCTTCCCCAAATCGGCCCCCGACCAACCGGACACGATCGCTTTGTCGGTGTGACCTTTGTTCGAGGACGAGGGCAAATTTATCGGCTGGATATTCGGGGTGAAAGTTACGGCGTTTTCCATTTCCAGGATGGCCACGTCGTGCTCCTGGAAAAAAATTAGAGTTTTTAAATTAACAAGGAACGTCTCCCAGCGGATGCTCTCTGATTTGTAGCAAATTAGTTTGAATCGGGGACAAATTTGAGTAGTATGAAATTTGCAAAAAAATGTAGGGTAAAAATTTTTGTAGATGAAGCTTCCCTGCAAAAACTTATTTGTGAACTTTGAAAATATTCGTGTAATCAAGCACAATAATCCAACAGATAATATGATTTGGTGCAAATTTCGCACCAAATTAACACACTCAAAACAAAACGGTGTCAATATATGACTTAACCGCCTTGGTTACAATTGTGATTCCGAGTAGTAACGAATTTTTTCCGTCCAGTCATAACATTATAACCACCGGTATCAAAATCATCATAACTCGGATTCAACATTGTAACCAAGGCGGTTAAGTCATATTTTGACACCGGCGGCGTTGATTCGACAAATTTTTATTTTTAGTGCATGGAAACTTCTGCGACCTGAATTTGAGCGAAATTAGTGCACATGTACAGTTCAATCTGTATTTATTACATAATTTCGCAAAAAATTGGCATCTCACAATGGGGGTCTCCCAGCGAATGCTCAGATCTATGTGTGAACAGATCGCAAATTTAAGTAGTATGAAACTTGCGAAAAACATTATCTCCCAATGGTCACGTTTCGTAGAGATATTTGCATCGAAAGAGGAGAAAACGCGTATTAAAGTCGACAAAGTTTACACTTTTCAAATTTACTGCGGGTTTGCTCCTCTTCGATGCAAATATCTGTGCCAAACATGCCAACATAATTTTTTAAATTATCAATCGCCATAATCACCAAAACTGCACTTCATTAATCCCAAAAAACAAATATGTATGTACTTCGCCATTTATGATTTGTCCCCAATTTATGACCTGATGAAGGTATCTGTATGTGCCGAAAGCTTGTCAATAAACTCAATTTCAAAAATATGTCCTCCAACGCCGATCAATCAAATTATATATATAACAGAGGATGGAAGCAACTACTACACAAAATACGGACGCTCCACGGCGGGGCTGAAGTCATCGACGTTAGAAAATTGGAATCTCTTCATAAAAGGAAAGTACAAATTCAAAATAACACAATCTTCTTGAAAAGATGCAAAAATCTTAATTTAACACCAAAAGGCTTCAAAATGCAACATTTAACTAAACAGTTTGGACCTCATCCACTAATTGCCAAATTTCAAACCGAGTATGAAGAGAAACTCCTTAAAACAATGATCAAGATCAATTTTCAAGAATTACACCAAATTGAGAATGATTTAAAAAAATTAAGAATCTCGACCAGAGAAAAAATGCCACAATTATGGGGATGGATATGTGAATTAATAAACCACACACAAGACTCCATCCAGACTCAAATCAAACAACGGCACGTACAAAAACTAGACGCCCTAAATAAAGAATCGGCATCTAAAATTATTGACCAACATTCAAATCCCGAAAGTCCAATTCTAATCCAAAATCTTTCTTCATACAAACCGGATGAAAATGAAGAAAAATTACTGAAACTTGGTCTAAACTTCTCACTACCACACAAAGACATAAGAATACCGATGATTGACACAGCAGCCACAATAGAATTACGAATGTTGGACATGGAGATAACAGAGAACGTTAAAAATGATGTTCGAACTGGCGTAACCCAAATTATGAAAAAATTCGTCAATAAATCTAACTTCAAAACAAAATGGAGTAAGTCAATTTCAACATCTATCCGGTCAATTCAAAACAACCAAAACATTGTCATCTCCAAAGCTGATAAAGGAAACTGCGTGGTCATTATGAATAAAACGGATTACATTAAGAAAGTAGAAGAAATGATACACGACGGACCCTATATTCGATTACCACAAGATCCAACGCCCAATCTTTCGAAGAAAGTAGAATTAATTTCCAAGAGGTTAGCTGAACAAGAAAAATTAACACCACAAGTAGCAAGCAATCTTGTAATAAAAGACCCAAGAGCACCCATATTATATGGAGCCCCAAAAATTCATAAGGAAAACACTCCTCTCCGTCCCGTTGTTGATTTCAGAATGTCACCAACTTATAATCTGGCTTCTCACATTGCAAATATTTTGAAAAATGTCACAACAAATCACAAATACAGTATTAAAAACTCAACAGATTTTGTGAAAGAGATTAAAACTCTCAAAAGAAGACCCGGAGACCTCATGGTATCTTTTGACGTCGTCTCACTGTTTACCAAAGTACCAATAGAACAAAGTCTAAATATAGTCAAAAATAGACTCAACAGGATATCAGATTTAACTTCAATCACAAAATTATCCGTTGATGATATTATGGAATGTCTTAAAATATGTCTTTCCTCCACATATTTTAAGTTTCAGGACGGATACTACTCACAAATGGAAGGGACAGCAATGGGAAGTCCGATTTCGGCCATAATAGCAGAAATATTTTTACAAGAATTAGAAATTCAGACCATTGCCAACGAACGTGCAATCTATTTTTGGCGCAGATATGTAGATGACATCTTCGCATTAATCAAACATCGAAAGAAGAAAACAATATTAGCCAAAATCAACGATTTCCATAACTCAATTAAGTTTACCACGGAAGAAGAAAACCACGGGAAATTACCGTTCTTAGACTTGATGCTATATGAAAAATCTAACCGATCAATTGGATATCATGTATACAGGAAACCTACCAACACCAATAAATACCTGAACTACAATTCACACCACCCAGTGGCTCATAAAATTGGTGTAGTGGACACTTTACTTACAAGAGCTCATCGACTGTCGGACGAAACCCACATTGAAGAAGAATTAGGATTAACAATGGACATTTTAAGAAAAAACGATTATCCAAACAAGTTAATTAAGAATAGATTGGATATAGTAAAAAGAAAAGCAGAACTAAATTTTCCAAAAAAAGATCCGGAGTTTGAAAAAAGAATCATTTTACCTTATGCTGGAGATGTAACTACGAAAATAGCTAAATTCTTGAGAAGAAAATTGGAAATAGAACTTGGATATTACCCTGGGACTAAACTAAGCTCTCTTATATGTAACACAAAAGAAAAACCTCCCAACACCAAAGCTGGAATCTACAATTTCAAGTGTAAAAACTGCTCATCTAAATATTTTGGAGAAACTCAAAGAGATTATGAGAAGAGATTTGCAGAACATCAATCCGACATACGCAGAGCAGTAACAACTTCTCCTGTATCATTACACATGGCAGAAAATGACCATCAAGTAGACACAACTTCTGTCAAATTAATTATGAAGGAGAAAAGACGCTATTTCCAGAAGTTTAAGGAAGCATTATGCATACGCAGCACAGAAGAAAAAATGAATAACTCTCAAGGAATGCATATCAACCCTATATGGTGCTCAGCACTCGTCACTTTTTTAAATTATCAATCGCCATAATCACCAAAACTGCACTTCATTAATCCCAAAAAACAAATATGTATGTACTTCGCCATTTATGATTTGTCCCCAATTTATGACCTGATGAAGGTATCTGTAGGTGCCGAAAGCTTGTCAATAAACTCAATTTCAAAAATATGTCCTCCAACGCCGATCAATCAAATTATATAAAGTTTGGTAATACCAAGAAATTTGAATTACTAAGCCATTTTCGACTTTTTTCACTTGATCTTCACTACTGTCAATTTTTTTGGAATTTGCAAAATTTTTGCACACGAAATTGAAAACGGAAAATTCTAAAAGGTTTAAATTAAGACAGAATTTTTTGCAAAATTAAATGTGGTCCTTCAACGTCAATTTTTATTTGTTTGAATATTACTTATAACGTAACTAGTTAAAGATCCCAACAGCAAAATACCCTAGCTTGCATTTCTCAATATTTCCCTAAATTTTCATAAATATCAATATTTTATACATATTTCAATCATTTTTTCAAAAATACTTCAACATTTCCAGAAATACGAACAAGATTTTATATTAATAGAAAAAATTATAAGAAAATTATTCCATGGAAAAAGAAGCATCATAAAATAAAATAACACCATTTAGCGAAAAAAAAAAATTCGTAAAAATTTTCCTCATTTTTCCATATTTAATATATATTTCATAATTTTTTTTACAAATACGTACCATCGATTCCGAATTGTACTGAATGTGCCGAGTAATTCGTACAATTTTTCTCCACAGGTGTGGCCCGTCAATGGAAGAGTAGAGGACTCGGTCACCTAAATGCATAAAAATTACCCAATTTTTTTAATATCCATCAAATTCCATCGAATTTCATCAAATTTTTTCAAGCTAATCCTAAATTACCCAAAATTACACGCATTTTCCCAATATCCGTCCCCTGAATTCTACATCATCAAAATTACCATCAAAATTATGATTATTACGTATTTTTTCTGATTTTTTTTCCTCTTACGATGCAACACACGACGCGCTGGTCAGAATGTGACGATGATCTGCACATTCAAAATTAATCAAAATGAATACTTGCATTTTCAAAATTACCATCCCCCATAAATTTTTACCTATGAGCGATCCCGAACAAAAATGACTTCCTTCATTCAGCAGAGCCACCTGGTTCAAAAAAGGACAATTAATTTTTAGAAATTTGCCTCATGTTTTCTCATAAATTAGCTTCAAATTTTAGTAAAATTCATTATATATGTACCATCCAGGGCCAATGCCCCCTCGGCATCGTCATCGTCCTACCCGGACAATTCCACGCGCTCAAATGCGGCGGTTCTATAACGACCGGGGGCAACGGTTCCGATTTCACTTTATGATTTCCAATTCCACCCTGCGCTTTCGACGACGAAATTTTGTTCGTCCTCTTCTTCGTCGACGTCGTCCCCCCTTTCCCCCCCTCCGTCGTGCCCCCCTTGGTCGCTGCGGAGGACGCAGAAACAGTCGAATTTTTCCTCCCCGACACAACTTTCACTCTTTTCGACTCAGCTCCGCCGCCGTCGCCAAGAGTCGAATTAGCCGGTTGTGGCGTCGTTTTTCGTCGTTTTAATGGTCGCAACGTCGTCGAACTGGTCGTGCTGGGCGTCGTCGTCGACGTCGTCGTCGACGTCGTCGTCGGAGTTTGATGCGTCGTATAGTACGAGGAGTCGAAATCGTTCGAAAATTCGTCAAAATAATAGTCCGGTTGGCTTCTTTGGCCGTCATTTTCGACGTTTTCCTCTTCATCCCCCGGCGGGGGGGATAAGTCCGAGTCGAACATTTCGTGGGGATGGAGCAGGATTTGGTGGGGGGGAGGGAGTGACATTTGCTGGATGGGGAGGGGATGATTGTGACGATGACGGTGAGGATGGCGTCCGATGTAGAAGGGGTCTTGTGGGGAGGGGAAGGAGCGTCCCTCGTGGCGCAGGGTGGGGGGTAGCATGGGGTCGGGGTGGGATGGTTTCAAGGGGGGAGAAGATTTTCCACCCTTTGGGGGGGAGTAATGGTGCGGGATTGTGTTTTCGAAGTAAAAGTAGCCTGGACAGCAGACCGTGTGGTTGTAAAAGTCGGAAGGGATTTCTGCAAAGGGAGAAATAAACAAAAATTTGCATGTGCAAAAATCTATAAAATTTTTATACCCAATTACATATACGCTTAACATATACAAAAATCTATAAAAATTTTTATACGTAAATTATCCAATTGATCTGTGGAACATATTTTTGAACATATATTTGCAGAATTTACCATATTACGGCATATTGGATGGATATTGCAAAAATGAAATTGTGTACAAAAATTTGCATGGCATCGATCCGTTTCGCCAATTCTTGCCAATATCGATCAAGTATTCAACCATGCCGAGCAGAGAATAAATTGTGACGCAATTTGCGCATAGATTTATAAAGCGATCCGGATATCACAAATCTATATTTTCGCAAATTTTCAATAATTCTATTGCATTTTCGTTAGTTGGAACGCATTTTCATGGATTTTCGTTAATTTTAATGCGTTTTCGTTAGTTGGAACGCATTTTCATGGATTTTCGTTAATTTTAATGCGTTTTCGTTAGTTGGAATGCATTTGCGTGCATTTTCATGGATTTTAATGATTTTTTTTACTCACCCAACGGAACATGACTCACAACGCCCGGCTGCACTTGGACGCTGACCGTTTGCAGTGACCAGGACTCATTCTTGGCGCAGGGTCCGGACGCCTGGTACAGCATCCTCGCCAACCCGTGATTCCTCAACTCCCCCGTCACCGCGTTAAACACGACGGGGTAACAAAGATGAAACGGCGCACATTGTCCGTCCTTCTCGTTCGCACTCACACATTCGGCCGCAGCCACACCCCCGTCGTCGTCGCCAAAATTATTTTCTGCTGACCAGTCCCCCGGGGAAGCTTCTTGCCCCCCGCCGCCCTGAGGACCCTCCACGGCGTCCCGTGGCGTCACCTTAAAGTCATCAGTCATTAAATTACTTTACTGATCAAGGAATAACATGTCAATAAATGACTACACTCTTAAAAATAATGTTACAATTTTTAAAAGTAAATGCACTCTAAATTCTAACTTAAGTAAGCTATGCTAAATCCAGCGTGAACTTTTCCCTTTATCAAGTTAACGCTACTCTGGATTTAGTACAGTTTACTTAACCCTTTAAGGAATATGATTACCTACAAGAAAACAGATAAGTTGTAAATATGGGTGATATGCAACCGTTATTAATGCAAAGACATATATAAACCGATAAATATGCAACCCGACAAATATGCATCCTGACAAATATGCAACAGACAAATATGATTTTCAATATCTATTCAATGTATTTTTATGTAATGTGTTGAAATATAATTCAATATTTGTCGGGATGCATATTTGTCGGGTTGCATATACGTCGGTTGTATATATGTCTTTGCATTAATGTCTGCTGCATATTTGACTTTGCATATTTGTCACCCCGTCGTAAATGCGCGTAAATGCGTATGCGCGGGGAGAATTCAGTAGCTTTAATAAAACTCGAAAAAAATGAAGCAAACAAAATTGAACATTGCTTTATATTGTGAAATATCAAAATTTTCGGCAAGAAAATGTTCAAATTTAATATTTGGCTGGGATAGGAGAAATCCCTCGAAATTCTAACAGATTTTTCTCAATAATTGTCCTCGTTACGAATCAAAGGATTAATTTATCTACTTTCCAAAAGGGTAACATTATTTTTAAGAGTGTACGAACCAACATTCAAACCAACCTGTTCAATCTTAACCGTGTCAAAATTATAAACCGGAAGTGGATTTTGGGCCACTTTCACAATCACATTGGGTAACAGGGGAGGGTGAAATTTCGTTTTTTTATTGCGACGACCGAATGGTTTCCGGTGTGCGGCAAGGGCATCCACGAAAGGGGACGCACCCATGGGGGACGGTTCGAAGACGAGCAGTTGGTCCCCCGCGAGTTCAAAGTACTGTTGGGGATGGTGCTGGGGGGACAGGTTGGAATCGGAGGAGGACGAGGAAGATGAAGAACTATCGTCCTGTTCGTGGCCTCGCTTTACTTTTGAATTTCCCGCTGTCAGGTCGAACGTAGTAGAGACGCTGTGCTGCTGCTGCTGGGGTCGCAGGGTCATCATGACTTCGTTCCTATAGTCAAAAATTGATGGTCCTGGTAGACGTGGAGGAGGATCTCCTGTATATTTCCAAAATATGTAAATATTTCCATCAATTTTTTAAGGAATTTAACCTCTCATATTTCCAGTAAATTATGTCAGAAATTATGGGGGACCTCAGACACAAAAAAAAATCGTCGCTTCAAATTTCGCTTAGTTTTTCATGTTCTGAAAATCAAGCTTTTAGAAACCAAAGAATCTCAAAATAGTTGGGAAAAAATATCTATCTTCCATCATTCAATCATTTCTCTCACCAGCGAAAAAGCCCAAACAAATCTATCAAATTTTAAAGAATTCAGATTCATTAAAATTATTTTTTTGATGTCAAACTCATCCAGTTTTTTAAAAAGGTACTTTATACAAAAATCATTTAAAAATTTCATATTTTCTATGAAACAATCTCTTTCAAATTAGATTTCATTTGTATGAATGAAATTACCAACGTATGAAAATCCACCTGCCGAAAAATACGACCTTTTTTTTACATCCTCTATAAAAAACTTTTACGCAGAGTAAGTAAAATATGCAGTTTTTTTCGTAAAACACGCAGAATTATTTTTTTATAATGAAAATTTCCTCTTTCATGAATTTCTTCTTGTGAAATATATCTGGAGATGTTTTTCCTAAATAAAATTATTTCTGCACAATTATGCAAATATTTCCATCCCCGAAATTAGAGGATTGTTTTTTTTTTCTACCAAAAATTCAAATCCTGCGAGCTCTTCTACGTATATTATAAAGTGTGAAATTATCTGGCACTATACCCTAAAATTTCATCTCTTTTAAAAATTTTAATCGATTTGTAACTACCACGCTAAAAAATTTAAAACGCATTTTTACCAAAAAATACGTAGACTAAATCAAAATTACCTTTAAATTCCAACCTAATAAAAAATCCAAAAATTCTTACCTTCCAGCACAACAGAATCCCCAATTTTGTAAACTTTTCCATCAATTTTTACCACTAATAAGGCACCAATAATAATAATAATTTTGAAAACGAATTGTCCCGAAAAAACGGTAATAAATCCCCGCGCCCCACTTATCCTGGCATCACTACCACCACCACACTTTCCCTGCATTATCACTCTTCTTAACTAACCTACTTATCTATTAATTAAATAATTTCATTGATTATTTTTCGAAACTAAACCACGACTTTCTTTTTTATTTTATTCCACTTGATGTACAAGCGTCACAACGCACGCTTCCGATATCTTGCAGCAACTGAACCATGCCGCGCGAGTTGTGTACCCTGCACGCGTGGAAATCAAATTATTCACTAGAATCTAACCTAAAAGTTGATTATTTTTACAGAAAATGAAACTCAATTAGACAATACTTCCGCCACAACAAAACATTTCAAGCGGAATGGAAGTGAATTGCTAAATTCGTCTTCGGATCAGTCGATTCAATTTCGTCGAGTCATGCCTCATCCTTTGTTGTCCCACGGTTTTCGTTTCACAATGAAATCAAACAATGCCTAAAATACGATCCATGATCCTTCGCATGCTGGGATTAAAGTGAATCTTCACTATTCATTGGTGTACAGTGGCCGCGGAAGCTGGAGGGACAATTTCCTCAGGGTTGTTTGATGTTCTCATCATCTGCCCATGTTATACAAACCCCTCCCTCCTCCTATCCTACAATGGCAATGTCCCCAGATGTCCCCACAGCTTCTGCGGCTACTGGTATCATCTATGTGGCGAAATACTAGAGATGAAAAACACAGGTGGTTTTTTAGGGGTACTTTCGCTTTCTGGCTGAACTCTGTCCTAATTTGTATTGTTCCCTCCGAGAACAATAATTTTCGTGTCTCCCTGACACAATGACACGGTTAATTACCCTCCAAATACACACATGCACACATATGCAAATTATGTAGTGGGTTTGATTTTATACGATAAATGCGACGTTTTTTTATTTCTCTTTCTTTCTTTTTGTCGACTGTCACGTTTCCAATTACAAATTCATTAACGCATTAACGGTTGACATTTTCATTTATTTCAAAATTTCATTAACGCCTTGTACAAATAAGGAATTGTTAATTTATTTAGAGTTAAATACATAATAGTTCTTCTTTTTTCTTTAAAAAAAGTAATTAACCCTTTAAACTGTAACGACGACAATAGTCGTTTTATAAGAAATGGTTTAATTCGGGAGTACGACAAAAGTCGTCCTGAAAACTCGTGGTCATGGCGCGGAAGGACGACAATTATCGTTTCTAGGAGGTCATTGATTTTCACCATTTTCTCTCCGCGACCTAAAATTTGTTGCAATTTTGAGGCATTTCTCCTATGCCAACACAATGCTAAATTTGAAGATTTTCTTCCCAAAAATTTGGATATTTCCCTATACAACTCAATGTTAAATTTTTGATTTTTCAGTTTTCCGAGTTTTATTAAAAACTCCTGAATTTCTCCTCCCGCGCCATGACCACAACATTCTTATAGTGTCCCCGATTTAATGCATTTTCTTGTCGTTAATCATACATGCTAAAGGGTTAATTCTATTTGAACGTCTCGTTTCGTCGTTATTTCTTTGTTAAAAAATACATATGTACATACTCGTAAAAGTAAAAATAATCCCCCCCCCCAAGTTAGACAAAATACATACAAAAAATGAAGTTCAGACAGAAAAACACACCAAATTTTACAAAATACAGACCAACACACCGACCAAATTACAACAAAAATAATTGATATCATTCACTCTGAAGAGAAAAAAATAGTGAAAATCATCTCGTTTTCTGAACAACTTTCTCTATCCATGGAAGATATTTTTGCGTCGAGGTGAAAACTGCGGGGAAATGGCCGCATCTATTTTTTAATGGAGAGGTGAAAGTCATAATTAATTTTATATATGAATTTTGAACCATAAATTGCATGGTGAAAAAAAACGTTGTCAAAATATGTACAGTATTTTGAGCTCGGTTCTTCCGAGGGTTTGGATTTCCGGTGGTGTTGAACTCATAAAAACATGAAAATCTACGTGGAGAGGGCAACAGTCAGTCGAAACTTCAGGCTTTCTGAAGAAATTAAGATTTTATCGCTGCCGAAATACTTAGCTTTATTAAATCACGAAGACGCAATTAACGCAGTCCTTTGTAACTTTATAAAATCCATAAGTTTTGTAAAATAATTTTATAAACTAATACTACGCCGTTGATCTTAGCAAATTTACAAAAAAGTAAGCTACTTAATGTTCTTTGCAAATATTACCAAAAACTTGCAAGTTTACGGATTTTACAAAGTTATCAAGGACTTGGTAAATCGCGTCATTGTCTTCATGATTAAACAAATTAAGTATTTTGACAGAGATAAAAGTTAATTTCTTCGCAAAACCTATATTTTCGACTGACTGTTGCCTTCTCCGCGTAGATTCTGGTCTTTTTTTGGGTGTAACACCTCCCGAAATTCAAACCCTGCCAAGAACCGAGCTCAAAATACGGCATTTTCACAAATTATTTTGCTCGCCTTTGATTAATTTAATTGTAATTAATTAACTCACCCAATTCCCCAGCTCACGAGGCCGAGCTGGATTGGTTTCCCGTCCCGCATGATGAACAAAGGTGCGCCAGAGTTTCCTTTAAAAGAACAGGATTTTCCGTCCTCCGTGGCCGCGCAGAGCATCGAATCCGTTATGTAGATTCCACTCTTTTCCAAAAACTCGTAATTCGATTGACAATCGTCGTTCGTTTTCACTCTGAAAAAAAGTGGACAAGAAATTTTGTCATGATTTTTAGCAATTTTGTTTCTGAACATGGCAAAATATGTGAATAAATGTGTATGACAAATTTGCGAGAAAAGCTAAAATATTTTCGAACGAATTTACCTTACAAATTACAATTACACCAATTACACCATGTTTGGTAAGAGATTTTAGTAATCTCTTACCAAAATTGTTATACAAATTTGGTAAGAGATTTGGTCATGATCTTTTTTAAATTACAAAATATATAAATTAATGTGTATGAAATATTTGCAAGAAAAGATCGATTTGATTCTGGAAAAAAGTGGACAAAAGATATTTGGCTAGAAATTTGGTCATGATTTTTCGCAAATTTTTTGCGTACATAGCAAAATATATGAATAAATTTGTGTGAAATATTTGCGAGAAAAGGTAAAATATGTTCGAACGAATTTTCGAGAATTTTCTCGCCAAATCATTATTCTTTAATTCAGTATACAAATTTGATAAAATATTTGGTCATGATTTTTCCCAAATTTTTTCGGAAAATAGCAAAATATGTAAATTAATGTGTATGCAAAATTTGCATGAAAAGCTGAAATATTTTTGGGACGAATTTTCGGGCATTTTCTTACCAAGTTATTATTTTGTAAATTCAAGATTCAAATTTTTTGGTGCTAAATGTCAAACCAACGAATCTATTTCCTAATAAAATAAATACTTCCCAGTAAAAAAAAGTGTTTAACGACGTCGAAAAATTTCGATATGTTTTTTTTTTATTTCCAGAAATAACGATACTTAAAAGGAAAATTTTGAAGTATGGAAAATATTTAAAACTTCAAAGAACTATAATTTTAAATTTAATTTTCTACACTAAATTTGTAGCAAAAACTTCTTCATGCAAAATCGTATTCACAAAATTCTAAACATTGTTTATCAAATGTTCAAATATTTATATATTTTTCAAAAATAATGGCAAACCATTAAGTCATGACTGAAATTTATGAAGTTAGATCAAGCTTCTGCATTGCATTGGCCAAACCTAGTTTGTTATACAGTAGATACATTTCGCAAAAAAAAATGCCGAAATATTGATGTTAAAAAAATGTCCCAAATTTTTAAAATTCGCAGAAAAACATAGGAAAATTTTTGAAGTATGGAAAATTTTGAAAACATTCCACTCCAAAGTATTATTTTAACCGTTATTTTCTAGTCTAAACTTGTAACAAAAACTTGTTCACCCAAAATCGTATTGGCAAAATTTTAAACTTAAAAAAATGGTCAAATATTTTCATATTGTTTTGCAAATAATGCCAAACCATTACACAAGAATTAAAATTTACTCGACAACCTGGTTTTTGCAATACAATAAATACGTCACAAAAAAATTAACGTCGTCGAAATTATGAGAATTTTTGAAAACTAGTAGAAAAACGTGCAAAATACTTATATTCACAATTGAAAACTTTCAAAAAATCCAAAAAAATTCGGTTACTGGATGACACAATTTCAAATATTTAAAAAAATGAAATAATTAGTCATTTTTGTAATATCTGAAATTTATGAATTTTTATTTTAAATCACGTTCGCACATTATTTCCACCTAATATAATTTGTGTTACAATAAAAACTCCTAAAAAAGTTTAACGTCGTCCAAATAATGAAACTTGTAAAAATTTCAAAATTTCTTTAAAATTACAACACAGAAAAACGTACAAAATACTTATATTTGGGAAAAGCTATGTAGAAGCATGAAAAATATTGAAAACTTTGAGTCCAAATTATTATTCTTAATTCTACTCTAAAAAATTTGTTCATCCGAAAGATGACACCATTTTAAATATTTAACAAAAATTGATGAAATATTCACTCATTTTTTTCGTAAATATATAACATCTGAAATTTATGATATTAGATTTTAAATCAATTTTGTAGGAAACGTCGAAAGTATTAAAAATATTTTGAAATATTTTGAAATTTTATCCCGTTTGTCGAAGTTGAAAACACATTTACAAAAAAGAATGCGGCAGAGATCTGAGACTATTCATAATATGAAAAATTCGTGCAAAAACAAAAATATTCAAATAAATTTTCCCAAAGTTAAGAAATTATATTTTACAAAAGAAGGTCTTTAGTTTAGCGTTCTACAAAATTGGCGTACAAAATTATTCGTAAAAATTTAAGTGACGGTATTCCACTTAAGTTTCAGAAATAGCTTCTAAGTTCGATATTTTTAGATTCCAATATTATTTTTCAAATCGATAATTATTACGAAAATTTAAGTATTTTCGAGGAGAAGTTACTGTCATAATCAGAGCGGAAACATTGATGAAAATTTTTTTAGGAAACCTCGAAATATTAAGAAACATTTTTTTATATTTTCAAAATTTTAGTAGTTTCTGCGGTTTGTTGAACACATCCAGTGTCACATTTATTTTTTTTACAAAAACTAAAACTGTCAGACAAACCTTTGACTTATTTTAATATGCATATTCGTAAACATTTTTAAAGTGCCGTTAAATAATTACGTTAAGAAATTGATTTTGTTTAAAATTTGCCAAAAATTCACAATTTTTTAAAATATTTATTCAACCATTTGAGACAAAAACTTTTTTGTTAAAAGAAATTGGATCACAAACAATTCAATTCCAAAGTACAAATTTTTGTAAAATCCTTATTTCAATATTTGTTTCGTACGTATTTCGTAAATATTTTAGCATTTTTTCCATAAATGTTAAAAATATTTACTCTAAATAAATTTGATTAAAATTTACTCAATTGTGAGTAAAATTGCCACCATAGCAAAAATTGAGTAAAATTTACCCTGAGAAAGGTAAAATTTACTCAAGGTAGAGCAAAAATCTTTCAACCTTGAGGAAATTTTACCTTTGTCAGAGTAAATGTTGATCAATATTTGCATTGGTGGCAATTTTACTCAACTTAATTTATAGTGTAGCAATTCTTCGTAAAAAATACGAATTCGCCCTCTGTTTATTATTGACAGGAAATAATTAACTAATTTGTCCTTACCTGGCCATGGACTGTTGCAACGTCCAGGTCACGTTATTGTACCCAAAACTGAAGTATTTCTGGACATGGGGGTCCACGAAGGGGTGGTGCGAACTGATCGTTTTCACCATCGGATCCTCCACCCAGCCCGTTTCGAACGCTTCCGCGATCCCGTTCGCGTTTAAGGTAGGATTATTGGATAAACAGACGGGATGAATGTCCTCGGAAAAGCGGACGGGACGATCCAACAAAAGAATCGCGACGTCATTGAGCTATAATTGCGAAAAAAATTGCAAATTTTGTATACTTAATTTCCACATAACTTACTTTTATTTTTGGTGTGAACTTGCGAAAAATATGGTGGTCTATCAGCGGATGGTCTCATATTTTGAGCAAATTAGTGCGAATCGATGACAAATTTAATTATTATGAAATTTGCGAAACGATACGATCTCCCAATGGCGTTTACGTTTGGCAGAGATATTTGCATCCGAAGAGGAGAAAACGCGCTGTAAATTTGTAAAGTGTAAAATTTGTCGACTTTATGGCGCATTTTCTCCTCTTGCGATGTAAATATCTCGGCCAAACGTAAACGCCATTGGGAGATCGTATCGTTTTGCAAATTTCATACTAATTAAATTTATGATTAAATTACTTAATACTTACACTATTTTGAGTTAAATTATGTAGTGCCAATCATTGAAAAATTTAATTAAAGTGAAATTCGCGAAACGATACGATCTCCCAATGGCGTTTACGTTTGGCCGAGATATTTGCATCCCAAGAGGAGAAAAGCTCACAAATTTTTAAGTATTTACTAACTATGCGATGACGCCAGGGGTCTCGCTCCGATTTTGATGAAACGAGGATAATTATGTAGCCTTAGGTAAATAATTGAACACATGTTTCGGGATTTTTCATAATGCTCAGTTTAAACAAAGTTATGATGGTGTAAGTGGCCGAAAATTCGCATTTTTCTCGTGAAGTTTTTATCTTAATGTTTTTTAGGGAGAAAAATGCGAATTTTCGGCCACTTACACCATCATAACTTTGTTTAAACTGAGCATTATGAAAAATCCCGAAACATGTGTTCAATTATTTACCTAAGGCTACATAATTATCCTCGTTTCATCAAAATCGGAGCGAGACCCCTGGCGTCATCGCATTGTAAGTTTACGATGGAAGATCAGGAGCAACAGATATCTGGTCATGTTCAATTAAATTTATTTGTTTTCAATATTTTTTTCTGACTTTGAGATACAGCAATGTTACACGTTCCAAATTTACTCTGGGTTTTCTCCTCCTCGGATGCAAATATCTCTGCCATTCGGAATTCATGGCTTTTGCAAATTTCACACTACTTAAATTTGTGATCGATTGACAATATTTTGAGCACGATCGGCTGTTTGGGGGAGATATTTGCATCGCAAGAGGAGAAAAGTCGACAAATTTTACACTGCAAAATTAACGACGCGTTTTCTCCTCTTCAGATGCAAATATCTCTGCGAAACGTGCCCCTTGGGAGATCGTGTCTTTCGCAAATTTCATCATAATTAAATTTATGATCGGACCACACTAATTCGCTCAAAATCCGAGAGCATCCGCTGGTCGACCTCCCTTGTGAGGTTTAAAGGTGCCAATTTTTACCAATTTATCAAAGCTGAATCCTTTATGTCGAATGACTTTGAGGACTTTTCGAACCGCGAAGGGTCCCTCGGTCTGCCCTCCGAAGGCAGTCTTGTACCCGATGTGAACTACAAATTAAAAAATATATCACATATTTTTAAAAAATTAAGAATTCAAGCATTTTTCAAAATTTTAATGGAAATATAATATTCTCATTAATTTTGAATAGCTTGGAAACCTAACGCACCTCGCATGTGGAACACATCCGCAACCGTGATACTGCAAAATAATAAACAATAAATTACAAATCCTCCTCGTTTCAGAAATTTGCATCTTTGAAAATTTCTTAAGAATTAATGATTTTGAAATTTTGCACATTTTACTCCTCACAAAACTTGTATAGGAATTGCGCACCGGTTTATTAGAACCTGCTTCCGCAGAAGAATATTTGCAAATTTTATATACATGCAGATATAATTTGCATAATGAATATCATCCACATTTCTATGACGTGTAGAAATCAAAATTTTGCAAATTCGTTCTGAAATTTTACTCCGGATACATAAAAAACTTTTACTTCTGTGCAGATTATTCATAACAACTGGTTTCTTTAATATTCTCAAATTTCTTGCACGCCAACCAATTTTTATTAATTGATCAACTTACTTCGATACAAAATGGGATGCTGTTAAAATACTGTAAATAAAAAACAAAAATTCACATTAATTAATTCACATCAATTTCGAAAATAAGCAAATTCAATTTCGAAAATCTTACTGTCTATCTGTAATCAGACTTCCGCTACAAAACGGTCGAGATCCCCCAACAATGGTTGCCTACAAAAAAATTACACAATTATAAAGTATCCAGGTGACTCAAATAATTTGTATTTGGGGTTTTCACGACCTTCGTAACTGTTGATTCGTAACGAAAAAATATTCAATTTACAAAGGGTTGATGTGAAAGATGTATCTTCGTAAATAATATGGGTATTCACGTCAACTTCGTAAAAGCCGTAAACGTCGCTTCGCAACATATCTTCGCAAGTTTGCGATTTTTGCGAAGAGTTGCGATGCGACAACCAATCAGATTGCTTTATTTTTTTTACGAAACATGCGAAGCGAAAGGGCATCTATTATCGTCGTAAACTATTTTTCACAAACTCGTCGTCAAGTGAAATTTTAATTTCTCCTCATTTTGGGAAATGTTGCCAGACAACCTTAAACTTTTCCGTCAAATGAATTAATTTACGCATTTTCATGTAAAATAAGTCGTTCACGACACCGATTTCGCAAACACCGCAAAGTTGCGAAGATGTGTTGCGAAGTGACGTTTTTTAGTGACGTGAAGACCCACATTATTTTTCCCCATGGTGTGCAAGCATAGAATTTTCGTAAATGTTGCAAATTTGCTTATTAGGAAATTTCTTTTTGTTAAATTATTGTCAAATTTTAAAGTCGGAACAAAGTTATGGAAAAGAAAGATATTTTATTAAACTTGGTCAGATCCTTCTTTTTCGCACTGAAATAGATTTTGAGATTTTGAAATTTTGAAATTTTAATAATAATTTTAATCAACATTTACATCATTTAGAAAAATCTTCACTCTCAAATTATTTTGTTACATAAAACAGAAAAGCGGAAAATCTCGAAATTTTCTGACTTTTATTTGTAGTTCATGCGAAATATTTTTAGGAAAAATAAATCAATCTTGCCCACATTTAGGAAGCTTTATAGGCGTGGAATTTTTATAAATGTCATAAATTTGCGTATCCAATTGTACCATTTAAAAGTCGGAATATGTACAAAAAATATATTCGGTTAAATTTGGGGATATTTGAAATTTTTAAATTACAAAGATAAGTTGTCGTTACAATAAAATAGAAATGTTAAAGTGAGTAAAAACTACTTTAGTAACGTGTAAAAAACATATTGTACGATTTCAAAGTCGGTAAAAAATTATGGAAAGAAAAATATATTTAATTAAGCTTTGCCAGATCGACGGACACAAAAAGATCATAATTTCAGAGAAAAGTTTCAAATTTTCGTAATAAATTTAATATAACTCAACATTTACACAAATTAAACAAAATATTTCCTTACGTATTTATTTCATGAAACTAAAGCAGAAATTAGAAACTTTATTTGAAGATTGATTGAATTATTATCTGGAAACACCCTGAGGTTTAATTCTTACATAAAATATAAATTATGGATTCGAAATTTAACAAAAATTTAAATTTTTTGAAAATCTTAAAAAAATCTTTCGATTTGAAATGTTATTTTGGGTACATGTGACCAATTTAAAAGGGTACCACAAAGTGTATTTTATAATTTGAAAAAGTTGAAAAATTTGATTTTCTGCCGTCGTGTAGCTTCACAACGAATTTTTCTGCATTTGTGTAACTGTCGTAAATTTATAACGTTTACCACAGTTACGAAGGTTTTATGTGCATTACAAATTATATGTTTAATTTTTAATTTGAACTTTGAATTCAAAAAAACCTAGTGACAACTTCGCATCATAGAATTTTCGTAAACCTCGTAAATTCACCATAGTTAAAAGAATACCGTGAAATAGAATAATCAGGCCTCACGCCAACCTCGTAACCCCGTAAGCTTACGAAAATCATCTTACGAATCAAAAACATGCACTTCATCTTCGTAAAGTTTTGCACCAAAAATTACCTTCGAAATGTTCCCAAGTCTCGTCAGAAGTTCATAAGTTTCTATAGTTTACGGAGTTACGAAGGCTGACGTGAAATGCCTAATTATCAATTTTGAAATATCCTCGCTTTTAATTCATACGAAATATTTGTACGAACGAAAATCGGTTACGAAGCCTGGAATTTTCATAAATGTCGTAAATTTACGATATATACATATTTGCGACGTTTACCACATTCATGATGGAATAAATACTAAAATAGATTCGTTTAGAAAAATATTTGTCAATTTGCAATAGGCTGACGCGAAAGATTTACATAAGTATACTCTTAGGCAACTGGTATTGAATCTTTACGAATCATTACCGGACGGAGTACATATATGACTCTACCGGCATCGGTAATATCGATCGTTACGGCGCAGTAATGAGGTGGTAATGAAATCTATACCACTTAGAATCAAAATATAACCAATCCGGTAATGAATTATTACCAAATCAATACCAACACGGAGTACATATGTGACTCTACCGGATGCTTTACAGTGTACCTTCGTAAGTAATACTTTTAAGTTTCGTAAACATGGAACTTTCGTAAATGTCGTAAATTTGCTTATCCATTAAAAAATAAATTTAAAAGTCAGGACAAAATTATGAAAAAGAAATATATTCGATTAAACTTGATCAGATCAGAGGTGTTAACATTCATGAATTTAACGTTGTGAATGAATAGTCATTCCTATATTCACCAATGTTAAATTCACGAATGTGAACAGGTCCGGGTCAGATGCTTCATTTTGCTGAAATCGATTTTGAAATTTTGAAAATTCTAAGCTTTTAAATTTCAAAATAGATTTCAAAACAGTATAGAATTTCAAAATTTTGCCATTTTCAAATTTTGAAATGCTCCTAATAAATTTAAAATAACGCAAAAACATAATTTCGAAAAAATCTTCGCTCGGAACTCTTACCTATTTATTTCGTTTCATGAAACTAAAGCAGAAATTGAAATCCATGCAAAATTCCTGCCAATATTAAGGAAGCTTTGAAATCCTAGAATATTCGCAAGCAAATTTGCTTATTCAGTTTATTTAAAACGATTATCATATTTCAAAGCTGCAACAAAATAATGTAACAATAAATATATCGAATTAAACTTGATTAGATGTTTTACCCCGATTGTAGTAGATTTTAAAATTTTAAAATTTTAAAATTATATATAACAAAGTTTTAAAGTTTTGAAATTTTGTAATGTTTGCAATAAATGTAGAACTCAACATCTACATCATTTTGAAAAATTTTGACTTTGAAATCCTGCATATATATTTTTTTGGCATGAAACTAAAGCATACATAGCTATTCTTACAATATAAATCTCCAAATTTCTTGACTTTTAGTTCTTAAGAAATATTTTTACGAGAGAAAAATTTAGGAAGCTTTGAGATCATGGAATTATCCTAAATGTTGCAAATTTGCTTTTGTTCAATTTTTTTTAAAGATTGTCACATTTCGAAGCTGGAACAAAATTATGTAAAAATAATTAATTTAATTGAATTTGTTCAGATACTGGAATTTTTAATGGGAGTTAATTTTTGAAATTTTGAATTTACCATAAGAAATTTAGCATAATTTTCTACAAAATGTTTTTACGGAGGAAAAACACGCATTAATCTTGCCTAAATTTAAGAAGCTTTGAAATACTAGAATTTTCGCAAACGTTGCAAATTTGTTTAAACAGGAGAGGAATTAAATTGTAGTTTCTGCAAAGCGTTAGCATAGATTTTGAATCAAAATTTATGCTTACGCCTTGCGCAAATTACGATTGAATTACTCCCCAGGTTCTTAAAAAAAGATTGCCCAATTTCAAAGTCGACACAAATTGATGTAAAAATAAATATATTTAACTGAAATTGGTCAGATATGGTTTGTTGTTGAAGGACAAGTTTCGAAATTTTGAAAATTTTCGCAAGAAATTTTGAATAGCTCTGAATGAAAAATTTTTTAGAAGGTAAAAGCGTACCAACCTTTCCTTTATTTACGAAACTTTGTAAGCATTTAATTTTCGTAAGCGTCGTAAATTTGCTTATCCAGTTGTAACATTACAAAATCGGAACAAAATTTTGCAAAAGAAATATAGTCCGTTAAATTTGGTCAGATAGGTTTCCGGGAATTGAAATTTTGAAACTTTAAAATTTCCGAAACAAATTTAGTATAACACTCGACGAAATGCTTTTACGAAGGAAATCAATCTTATCCATATTTACGAGGCTTTGTAATAAGCATGGAATTTTCGCAAATGTTGTAAATTTACTAATGAAATTTAAAAAAACAAGATGCTACATTCCAAAGTTGAAATAACATCATGTAAAACAAACACATTTCACTAAACGTGGCCAAATATGGTTTTTTTCTTTGGGAATAAATTATGGTAAGAAATTTTTGGTAATAAATTTTCGTAATAAATTTTAGTAACAATTTTTGGTAACAAATTCAACAGTTACATAACTTGGATAAATTGCCTTTACAATAAAATAGCATCTCGCAAAAATTTAGCTGGAAAACCATAAAAAAAAATTCGCAGATTTGCCCAGCAATTGGGCATGTTATTATTTCTCTAAATTATTTCGCAAACTCATCCTCACCAAAAGAAATTTAAGAAATGCATGGAAATAAATCAAAATATGTAGATGATTTTCAGTAGATTTTTGAGATTTGCAAAGTCAAATTTTGCGAATCCCCTCACGACAGAAATATTGAGGGTATTCATTCGTTAACCCTTAGCCGAGGAGAAACGGTAACTATGTTTGGCGTTGCTGCGGGGCCTTTCGATGACCACAATTGTCACCATTCGGGAAGCCAAAAAATAATTAAAATCTGACAAGTTCTAAATCTGGAGACTTTTATTGTATGTGTTGCTTAGATTCGGGACGATTTTATAAATGCTCAATTCGGGAGAACGGCAAAACACGTTAGTAGAAAATTAACTGCGGGACAACATCAATAAGTATCATATTTAAAATGATGACTGATGAGTATTAAAATTTAAGTGTAACATTGTAAAGCAAAGTTGCATGATAATTTTAGAGTTATGAACTACGACTATGGTGCAAAATTATGACTTCAAAACTACTCAAGACATTTGTAAAATGGACATGTTTATGGATCTACATAA